GAGAGAGAGAGAGAGAGAGAGAGAGAGAGAGAGAGAGAGAGAGAGAAATAGATCAGAAAGATGTAAAGGAACTGCACCTCTCCCATCTCTAACTTCTGAAAGATTCTGCGTCCTCAAACTGGTTCAAAGATTCTTATCTGGTGAAGTTTGAACAGTCACAAGATATCAGTATACTTCTCTGGTCCAATTTGGAGACTTGTACAAATATTCAAAATGAAGACACATTATTCTGTATCCCACCTGCCTGTGGAGGTGATGTAATGGAGACCTCTAAGACGGCTGGATTTCAGACAGTAAGACCACGCCCGGAAAAAGTAATTTTTGAACTCGGAAAGGCTGTAACTCTGAATCTCACTTGGTAACTTGTTCCCCTTATGTGAAATTTCTTTCTTTGTTCTTCTTCTTCTTTTTTTTTTTTTAGTTGTTGATGGACCTTTATTTTATTTATTTTTATGTGATGCTAAGGATCGAACCCACTGCCTCACACATGCCAGGCAAGTGCTCTACCACGGAGCCACAGTCCAGCCCACATGCAATTTCTTAACAGAGTTCCCTGTATTTCTAATTGATATAAAGGCTTGTACGGTCTTTTTTTTTTTTTTTTTTAATTCCACCATAAGAAGGTACTTCAAACATGACTAGGATAGAATAGTATCCTATTTCTCTGTTGAAAAAAGAAGACTTCTGGTTAAAGATGGTTGATTGAACACAATTGTTTTTCTCCTCTTTGCTACAGTGTCCCCTAAGATAACAGTCAAAGAATTAAAATCACAATGACAAAGAGGGAAATGAGACAAGAAATTAAAGTCTGAAAGAGAAAAAGTGTCAGCAGAGCCCCAATTGCTATGTGGGTGGAGGATGCTCCTCTCTGGTCAGAAAAGGGTCCGAGTGTCCTGTGGACTCCTGGAGAGGTCCCCCATCCTGATCATTGGTGTTGGTGGAAACCCACATGAAGGACTAGAACCAAGATGAGCAAAGGACAGACTTACCCCAGCAGAAACAGAGATGTGGCAGAAAACAAAATTCTAAAAACCAGAACTGTCACACAGACAAGAGAAGACCTTGTGCCCACAGAGCCATGCAGGAAACAAATATCCAGAAAGTAAGACGGAGGGCCTGGAAATTTGAAATGATAGTTGACTTTTTTTAAAAAAGATAACTAGAATGGCTTTAAATGGGTTGGGGAGGGAGTTTCCCTGAACAAAGGGAGAATGCCCTAAAGGGAGAAATTAAAAGTAATTTCGAAACCTTAAATGTCAAAGACAGTTATGAAATTCTACAGACCTAGATGTAGAAGAAAATGGCAAAAAATGTTACACCCTGATCCGTTATTCATGTAGGAAGACAAAATCGATATTTAGCTGTGCCAGGACCACCTGCAATCTCCACCTTGTTTTCTTTGAAATGTCTGAAAATGTGTTTGTGCAAATCCATTCACGCCCCTTTCTGCGGCTCACCCATTTCACAATGTACTTTCCTCCCAGGAAAAGAAAGATTCACCCCTCTGCCCTGCTCCAGTGACGGTGTCTCTGGCAGCAGAGTTCAGGCCAGGCTCTGGTTAGACCCTCTCTGGTCCTCTACCAGGGTGGCAGCCATTCCAGATGGTGTGATGCATTAGCCAGAAGCAGAGTCTAGCGGGAGGGTCCTCAGGAGCAGAGGCAACGGGAGGCCCCACTGAGATCTGAGAGTCATTTGTTCCTGTTATTTACTCAACTCTTACTGACAAACTGGGGCAAGCGGTAGATAGAGCACCCTGAGGTTCATAGCCAGTATTGCAAAAACAGAAAAAGAATCTAAAGGAATTTGAGAAGCACTATTCTAGAAATAAAGGCTATGTACTGCATATAATAATAAAATTATAAGAATTTCAATCTTAAGGTTATATGAAAAAAATTTGAGTGAGTACTAGTAAAAAATTGAGTGAAATGAATTTAAATGATATTGTTTCACATTTGATACTATAGACCAACTAGAGATATAGAGAGAATTAACTAGAAAACTCAAGAGTAACCAATAGAGTCAAAATGAGACTACAAAGCTTACAAAATAATGAAAAACTGCACCTGTTGTTTTCTCTAATGCAGAAAACAAAAGAGACATAAGTTATAAGAAAGACCAAAAAAATTCATAGGAAAATATATCATTTAAAACAGATTAATTTCCATCTTAAAGTATAAATGATCAAAATAGAATCTAACTACAAGAAATACAACAAAGATTAGGGAACATTAAAAATGTTAACAGTCAAAAGCTGAGCAAGTTCTACTGGGCAAATGCAAAAAAGATTTTTAAAAGATAGACATTTCTGTCATGATTGCTAAAAACAATTTCACTTCCAATTTTTAACTCCTCTAGTACATAAAAAAAGAACAAAGATGTGCAGAATGTGTTTCAAAAATTAGCAAGATTGACTTATAAATAACTCTTGATCCCAAACACTTATGAACATACCATGTTTCTTGCACTGAATTAATTTCCATAAACACTAATAATGAGAAAGTTTCCAGGTTACATGTTCTGACTATAAGATAATACTACGATAAAACCAAAATTTTAAAACAAAAAAAAAAGTTTGTTAAGAGACATATCTAAACGTAACAGAGATCTGAAAGTTCACTAGACTGCTGGTTTCGGCTCTGACTGCAAAAACCTTGGAAATCATCACTCCTCTCCTACAACAAGAAGAAAGCAACTGAAAATCAAGGGCTTTTCTTGTATCTATGAAAGAACTGAGGTCTCAGGGGAAAACTGCCAACCCCAAATCTGGAGAGACAGGTAAATCTCAGCCAAGGTGAGCCACCTGGGGCAGAAGCCACCACAGCCATAGACAGGGGACATCTAAATCGTAAGTTTGGTGAATTGCCAGAAGCTGAGTGTGGAGGGAGAAATTCCTGGGGGCCAGAGTCTTAGGGCAGCCCCCAGCTTTTTGTGGCGCTTCCCTCCAAGAGCACCACCAGGTTCTCAGTGTAAAGAAAACTCCCCTGCATTTCTGTCAAGGGAGAGGGAAAAGAAAAAAAATTGTTAAAATTGTTAAATAACCAGGCTTTATGGTCCTAGGGGTAGGGCTGCTGTACATCCAGCCCCTTAGCCTTGTCTCTCCTAAATGGGATGGGAAAGTGGAATAACTAAGAACACTTGTACGAGTTATAGTCCAGGGATACAGTCCTACTAAATTGTTTGTTGAGGGCCACAGCCAAGTCAGGATGATGCATGGCATTTTTGCCAGAAGTAGTGGTTGAGAGGTGATGCTAGCGAGCCATTAAGATGATGACTTTTGAGTTCTGGCGGAGTTCCCATTCAGTTCTGCTTGAGCTCTCGAGGGGATTCCCGGAGAGTTCCCATTGGTTGGGGAAGTGCCGGAGGAGGGATTTTCCGGTTGCTGGTTCATGGGGAGGCAGCGTGGCGTTCGGGGGAGTTCCCGGGAGCGCGTGTGGAGTGTGCTGGTGGAGTTCAGAAATAAAGTTTGTTCCTGCTTCAGTGGCTCATGATTTGTGCCCAGCCAGACTGCGGCATTTGGTGGCCCGTACGGGGAACGCCTGAAGCTCAGAGGTAAGTGAAATTGCTCGCCCCTGAGGGAAGGCGAGAGAATGGGTGACCATTTCAAAAAACAATGTGTTCTTGTTTTGATTTGTTTCAAGCTGCCTATCCCTAGAACTTTCTCAGGCAAACTGGGAAAAATGTTTGGCTCAAGGTTTGAAGTTGTTCGCCCCTGAGGAAGAGATAGAAATAGACCACAAATGCACATGTCAAGAAAATAGGAAAACTGATACAACGATTTTTTGTTCCATTTTTGTTTCATTCTGTTTCAGTTTTGTTTTGTGTTATCTTGTTGGCTTGTGTTATCTTTATAGTAGATTAGAAATTAGTAAAAAACAAACTGAAAGAGTGTTAAGTAAATTGTTAGAGGTCCAGACTATGGTAGAAAACATGTTAGATCAAGCAAAAGAGAAAGTCTCTCAAGCTAGTCAGATAGAGGAAGAAAATTTAAAGAAAGAAAGCTTAGAGGAGATATAGCTATCGGGGGGACGCTACAACAGGAGGCTGCTACTAACTCTGTTCTATCACCAGAGGCATAATTCAACCAACAGCTCCACCTATGGAGACAGCTGAGTGGCCCTCAACCCCCGTAGTTGATAGATGGGATCCTGAGACAGGACCTCAAAGATTAGCATGCCCTGTACTTGAGCAGGCAAGAGGGCAGCGAATCCACCGTGCTTTAGATTTTAAAACAGTGAAGCAGTTAAAGGAGGCTGTAACAACCTATGGTCCCCAAGCATCCTTCACTGTAAGCATGGTCCTGGCCCGCTAGCGTCACCTCTCAACCACTACTTCTGGCAAAAATGCCATGCGCCATCCCGACTCGGCTGTGGCCCTCAACAATTGTTGAGATGGAATCACAAGATAACAGATGACACCTTCTCTTTCTATCCAAGGGCTCCAGTATGGACTAAAGCTGAGATGAGGTACAGACTGTTTAAGAAAAGACTTAACAACAGCATACTACAGGGACACAGCCACATCCATGTTTACAGCAGCACAATTCACAATAGCT